TTCGTTTGATGTGTTTGATCTTTTGATTTCACTACTTAATAAGGGACTTTCCGTTTGGAATTTTCCTTGAAGTTCAGTATTTTTCTTTTTCTTTTAACACGATATTTTATGGCTCTGATTTCATTTATTTTTTTTCGTGTTTTTTGTTTTTCTTTTATTACCAATTCATATGAAATAGGACTTCTTAGTTGGATTTATTTTGTTAAAATTAGATCTCCACCCTTCCACTTGTCAATCTCTATAAAGGCCACTTTTCCTTATACTACTATTTCATAGTAAACACAGTATCCCAGCCTTATAAGCAAAGCGTAAGATAAATGATTAAAGTTAGTCTTTCAAGAATGTTGAAAGGTGTGCAATAGTATTCCTCTTTTTAAACCTCGTGATGGTTCATGAGTACACGTGCCGTTATGGATCATTGTAACGCCATATGACAGCTGGAGTAAAAGCTTTGGAGCATTTTGTGTTCCCTATTTGTATGTCTGGGTAATGCTAGGTCACTAAAGCTCGCCATTGACACGAATCAATATCCCGTGTAACCAAATTCATAAAAGAACAGAGTTCCAATATCCCCCGCGTTGCCCATATTTTATCTGTCATGTCCAAGAAAAATAACTTTAAAAAAAAATGTGTTTTTTCTTTTAAACTTTTTTAAATTATCTTACTAGAGAGTTGAAGACTTGAGAGCAATTTCCGATATATTTAATATTTCCAAGGGAAAATCATAAAAAATATTTGATCAGCACTTATTTTTGAAATTGTCTGAGCCATTGCTGTTATATACCTTTGATATGAATTTGACAAAAATCTGACAAAAGTTGTACATGTGAGAGCACTTTCAATGCAATTGTTCATATAATCAATGTTTCAAAGGGGCATAACTATTTTAAAAATAATTGATCGGCACTGATTTTCAAACAAGTTCAAGACATTGCTGATATAAACCTATGATATAAGTTTCATGAAAATCTGACAAGATTGAAGAATTGTACAAATGAGAGCGCTAACAATGCAATTTTTCTTATAACTAATGTTTCCAAGGGGCATAACTCTTTGTAAAATAATTGATCGGCACTGGTTTTCAAACTCGTCAAAAACATTGCTGATATAAACCTATGATATAAGTTTCATAACAATCTGGCAAGAATTGTACACGTGATAGCGCTAACAAGACCGGACAGACGGACGGACGCCAGGTTTTTCTGTCCCCCGCAACGCGGTTCGCGGGCCAAAACAGTGTCGTGCGAATGAAATTCGATAAAATAGCATATGCTAAAATCAAGTAAAAAACCCGTCGTGCAAAATTGGGCACCACCACATATCTTCACAGATCTTCACAAGTATTATCTAAACAGGATTGTGACACTTTATAAATTAACACTTAACCTTATAAGCGAACCCTGGTTGTAAAATTGTGAATGATAGTTTAAAATATTAAATGTAAAGTCAGATCAATACTGCACGTTATTGTTCAACGTATGATCAGTAACTATCTGTTACAAAGTCGTCAGCTGTTGTAGTCACATTGACTTTTAATTTATATCTTATTTAGTCATTTAACTGTAGCATTTACAATGACTTTTAATCTATATCTTACTAATTCATTTTATAATAGCTATTTACCACAAGCTTTGTGTGCAGGGTAAAACTGTGTAAATTTTGATGCAGCAGCTTACTAAAACACTAAATGTATATTTGTATAGCTTGCGTCTGATTTATTTCAAAATTAATATCTCTTTGAATACGTAATTACACCTAGAATTTGGAGAAACTGGTTTTGGAAACTCCTCTTCTTTGTTGAAACAGTTATTTGTTTTTATAGTGATTAAGATTATATTACAATATTGACTGCTGTACCCCAATTTTTGACATTTTTAACTATTATGTCTGTTTGCTTTGCTCACACCAATTGTTGTCAATATAATCAAGCTGTTTGACAAGCGGATGATGGAAACTGAAGTTACCACGATCCCAATATGGCGTGGGGAAATCCCCGTAAGATCTTTCCCTCTTAATTTCTTTGTTTTTACATAAATGTGGCTAACATTACTCAGCCGTCGTTTGGTTATTAACATTTTCAATGAGTCTGTAAAATATTAACATTAAACAGTTGTCCATTACTTAGAAAACAGAGAGTGAAAAAAATACGTTGATGATGGTAACTGTTCATGATATTTTTGAAAGATCGTGGTAACTGCTTTCTGGGATGGTGGTAACTTGCCAAAAGGTTGTATAAAACGACAAACTAAGTACAATTTTAGCCGTGATATATGGATATATAAAGTATTATTACCTGTATTTACCTGAGTTTACTTGTCAAATAAATGCGCGCAAAAGTAATGATTTTTGCGCGCAAATGTAATGGTAATGCGCGCAAACGTAATGCCTTAAATTAATTTACGTTACGTATTACGTCCTATATAATGACCCATAGTTGAGTACTACGTATCGGTATCAGGGGCGGATCCAGACACTGTGAAAAAAGGAGGGGTGTGCTGGCCAGGGTTTCTCAGAAAAAAGGGGGTGCTAGTACTTTATTTACTTAACATTTTTTGTCAATTTGTTCCATGAAAAAGACAAATTTTCCAATAAAAAAGGGGGTGTTAATCCCCGGCACCCCCCTTTTTGGATCCGCCACGGAGTATTGCTCTGGATCTTTATATATAACCAATTTCATAATATATATTCACCATTGAATTATTTGTATATTATCGAAATGACAATACTATGGAAGTCACCAACGAAAGTGAAAGAAGCTTGATTGTGGTAAACAAATTTTATATTGTACACTGGTCTACACTCATTTTTAAATTATTTATTTGCACCATTAAAGTCCTTAAAATTGATAATTGCTTTTAATATATTCATTACAGAACATCTAGAATTTCTGTTAGAAGTAAAACATAAAATGTGTAAACGATTCCTTCTATTCACTATATGCTTTGATAAATGAGGATGTGTGGGGATATGATTTTGAGATATCAATAGGGGAAAAAATACCTTTCCGGCAATGATTTTAGAAAATAAAAAATATGAAATGATTTGGGGCTAACATTTTGTTTCAGGAATTTGCGAATTTAACTGACATATATGCCTAATAATTGTAATTAATATGATGTCGATTTAAAGGATATGTGTCTGACAAGTTTGAATGGTATGAAATGTTTTCCAGAGATTCCTCTCTGGTTTCACTTTAAAGCCGAACACAATTTTATGTTTATTTCCTGTTTCTGTTTCCCAAACCTACTATATTGAGGAGGGGAGGTTGGGGTCTGAACCCGAAATCCCGGGCTTAAAAGCTTAAAATTCAGAGGCCCCGAATTTAACGAAATTTCAAATCCGACATCCTGAAATTTGAAATAGGAATTCCCGTATCCCAAAAGGATCAATCCCGAAATTCTGAGCTTAAAACCGCCTAATCTCGGAATCCCGAAAAAAGTCCCCACCCCATATTGTGATGCCATAAGAAGCCATACTCTTATGGCTAGCATTTCTTGAATATGTTTAACTTTTGATTTATCATTCATAACCTCAAATTAAAACTTTTTTTTTTTATAAAACTCCTATATCTATCTATTCATTTTTGACAAGAAACAGGAATTGCATATAAATCTGTTTAAGGCTTAGTCTTTTGAATTTTCATTTGTTTAGTTATTTGATTCTTTGTTGAAACATATATATATATATATAGTTTTTTAGTTGGTATAACAACACTGTTTGTGAAATAGTTGCATTAAAGAATGTTTCATTTTACAAAACATTTTAATTTGTTTCCCCCGACACATTTTTATTTCTTGTGCTAGTATTGGTCTATACTCCAATAAAGTGGTTTCAGTTAAGATTTGTTATTGTGTTTCATTTCATGTATAGTGATGTTAAACACTGTATGATCGAAAAGAAACCTCGAGTAATATAAAAATTACCATCATCTCCTAACTATTTTGATCGACAGTTACCATCATCCCATCTTGGAGTTACCATCATCATCGCATTTTTATTGTGTTCAATTTTTTCAGTGACGGACAACTGTTTAAGGTTAATATTTTACAGACTCATTGCAAATGTTAAGAACCAAACGACGGCTGAGTAATGTTAGCCATATTTATGTAAAAACAAAGAAATTAAGAGGGAAAGATCTTACGGGGATTCCCCCACGCCATATTGGGATCGTGGTAACTCCAGTTACCATCATCCGCTTGTCAACAGTGATAATGGAATTCTATGCGACGCTCATACAAGTGAGAGGTTTAGCTAGTTATAAGACCAGGTTTAATCCACCATTTTCTACATAAGGAAATGCCTGTACCAAGTCATGAATATGACAGTTGTTTTCCATTCGTTAGATGTGTTTGAGCTTTTGATTTTGACATTTTATAAAGAACTTTTCGTTTTGAATTTCCCTTGGAGTTCGGTATTTTTGTTATTTTACTTCTTTCTTCTTAATTAAGTTTGCACTTTCAATCTTCGATAATTGTTAACTTCAATACTGCATAAAGTAAAGAGTTGAGTTGTTTCCGACGCGTACAAAACACATTGATACCCGTAAAAACATGCAATACTTATTAAAATTTTGAAGGAACGTAACGGTAATTTCATAATCGATTTTTTATACACACAAAATTTTAAAACATACTATATCTCTTTCATTTATACAAAGCACAATGGTAGTTCAAACAGAAATAGAACAGCAATAGATCTGTTATAATCCCATTTATTCGTAGAAAATTACCAAATATTTTTAACATCGTTCTTTCATGCGCCACGATGGCACTGATATTACACTATGTTTTCACATTGTTAATCTTTTAAACTGTTGGTTTCCCACTGCTATGGAGGAATTGATCATACAACAAAATACATACAGAATGCATGCGAGAAATGGGAGCTACATGCTACTTGTACAAATATAATATGAATGTGAATAAACGGAGATGTGGAGTATACTACAAAGTCTCAAAGAAGCAGTAATCATAGGAAACAAAAACAACGTGTGTTCTTACCTGGCATGACGTGTAACCGGTAACAGACTAAAAATAGATTTATATTTTCTGAAAATTGCTTTCAGTTTCACTTTCGTTATTTATATTGGTCTAAAAATAATCTACTGATTTTAAATGTTTGAAAAAGTTGATTCGTAACAAACTTTTAGTCATTAGCACTAGCAGTTTTTTTTCAGTATCCTTTTTTTTTGCCTGATCTGTAGAAGTATTGGTGTTTTAAGGTTCGGGTTTTTAAATATTTTGGTTTCGAGCATCACTGACGAGACATTTATTTTCGAAATTCGCATCTTGGGCAGTAAAATTGGCACCTTTATTGTTATCAAATCCTTTTAGAATCTCTTTCGGAATATTTTTTAGGCTGTATATATTATTTTCTATATTTAGGCTTGATTATAAACTGTAGAGTAATATCAGTATTTTATGATAAAGTACCAACCAAATGTTGCTCATAAATTTTTTTCCCAAACTAAAAATTCAATTTTGGACGATATTTTACTGAAACAAACAACAACAAAAATAAAAGAACAAAACATTAGATATATCCTTTTGTTCCATATGTCCAATAGTGTAGGTGGATCTTCTCGTCCTTCTGGACCCTTTGGGCTCACCAAAAGTTTCTATACAGAATTATGGATCTCAATATGTTGATATATCTGAAAGGTTTTTTTTTTTATTACTTTTTTTCTATTGATCCGCATAGTGTTTTCTGTCATCTTCAAATCCTGATTTTGATTATCCAGTTACCATCGGCTCTGTTCTACATAGCAAATACATGAAGCAAAAGGAGTCGTTTAGAAATTTAGATTTCAAGTGCATCAATTTGACATCAGTCTACGAATGTTGTATTTCACATGTCTCATAAACATGTACATATGAAGTATTCCGTATAATTATTCAGCACGTATTGAGAGACATTAAACTTGCATCTATCATCTTTAAAATGACTATTCTACCGTCAGTCCATCCGTCAGTATCCTATTTGACTTCTACAGGAAAATACCATTAATCTTATTGTTTGAAAGCTATTGTTTTGTTGCGGTTATCATCATTATATTCCTATGCAATACCATAACAATACGAGTAGACAGTGTTTAAATCATACAGTATACAGACATTGAATGAAATAACGAATCATCTGTCAAACGGAATCATACCAAACGCTAAAAAAGGAACAAGTATAATCGTATAAATCATTTTTTGAAAAGAATGGCCTGAGAATGTTCTCGTATCGAATGTTCATTGGTATAGGTTATTACTGTAGAGATATGATTTGCCATCATTCAAATTACTTTGAATCAGTTTTTTTTACAAGAAAAAAAAGAACAATCGGCTGTTTATACAATCAAAATACAAATTTAGAAGAGAATACACAAACAATCTAAATCATACCAAACTAAAACTGATGTACGGACACCTCAAACTGATGTACGGACAACAAAACTGATGTACGGACAACTTAAACTGATGTACGGACAACTTAAACTGATGTACGGACAACTAAAACTGATGTACAGACAACTTAAACTGATGTACTGACAACTAAAACTGATGTACGGAAAACTTAAACTGATGTACGGACAACTTAAACTGACGTACGGACAACTAAAACTGACGTACGGACAACTAGAACTATGTACGGACAACTAAAACTGATGTACGGACAACTTAAACTGATGTACGGACAACTTAAACTGATGTACGGACAACTAAAACTGATGTACAGACAACTTAAACTGATGTACTGACAACTAAAACTGATGTACGGACAACTTAAACTGACGTACGGACAACTAAAACTGACGTACGGACAACTAGAACTATGTACGGACAACTAAAACTGATGTACGGACAACTAAAACTGACGTATGTGTACATAGATCACACTAACCGAAAAGGGAATCAAATATTCCATTGCACGCGACATCCATCATTTTGCCAGATGGGTCCATGATGAGTCAAATTGAGCAAGTATAAAAATACATAATGACAATAAATGAGTCGATGGGTGTTCTCAATATTGTGAAGGGATATTATTTAAAACTGAATAGAACCATGCCTTACTTACAGCCTATTGATCCCACAATCATCAGTTAGACGGTTCATTTATCCCGCCATCTTTTTTGTATTGCAATAATTGCCAATGAGACAACTCTAAACCAGAGACCAAATGACGTACAAGGTTAGTAACTATAGGTAACCGTATGTCCTTAAACAATGAGCAAATCCCTTACCGCATATCAAGTTAAAAAAAGCCCCGAAATGACAAATGTTAAACAATTCTAGCGAGAAAACTAACGGCCTGATTTATGTACAAAATAATAAACGAAAAATAAATATGATATACAGCAACAAACGACAACCCCTGAATTACAGGCTCCTGACTTTGGACGGGCACATATAGGATGTGGCGTGGTATTACATTTTTGCGGGTGCACCGACCCTTCACATAATCTGGGACAGTAGCACAGTATCGTTTCATTCGCATGTGAAGTGCATGAGGTCGTTAGTTCGAGTCTTTGCCGAATAAAGGTGACATGCTTTCTTTTTTCTTGATTTCGGGAGGTCGTGAATTCGGTTCAAAGTCTGGATTAATCAATCAATTATGAATCATAGAACAAGGAATAATCACCAATGTACTGAATTTCTAATAATTTTTTGTAGTTGTTCTTTAATATCAATATTTAAGGATGTTTGCTACTCTGTTTCAAAATAACAAGCTTTTTAAAAGACTATTCTAAAATGATAGTATATAAATAAAGGAACTAAAAAAGCAGAAAAAAAATGAAGGGTCCGTGAGCTTGTTTTCGAGTTATAAGCCATTGAAAATTTGGCGGGAAACGATTATCTCTAGATTTTTCATTCTTTTAACGTTGGCCGCGTTTTTGTTTCAAAAACTATGAAAAAATAACAAGGATTTTATAAGACTTTCAAATATGGCTTTTTAAACTATGTTTAATAAAATTATGAAAAAAAAAGTTGGGATTAGTGGGCAATTTTTTTTAATGGCAATACATGGATAAAACAAGAGGATTCCGAAAATCTGGCAAAAATTCAAAAACAAGAGGAGCAAACATCCTTAATATAGGTTTTCTATAAATTTTCAATTGGATTATCTCGCAATGGTTATAGATAATGACACTTGTGAAATGAACAGTTTAGATATTACTAATGTTTTGTAGATCTAGCCTATTTGTTTTGATATCATTAATGTTTTGTAGATATTATTAATGTTTTGTAGATAAAGCCTATTTGTTTTGATATCATTAATGTATTGTAGATCTAGCCTATTTGTTTTGATATTATAAATATTTTGTAGATCTAGCCTATTTATTTTGATACTATTAATGTTTTTTAGATCTAGCCTATTTGTTTTGATATTATTAATTAAATGTTTTGTAGATATTATTAATGTTTTGTAGATATAGCCTATTTGTTTTGATATCATTAATGTATTGTAGATCTATCCTATTTGATTTGATATTTTTAATGTTTTGTAGATCTAGCCAATATGTTTTGATATTATTAATGTTTTGTAAATATAGCATATTTGTTTTGATATCATTAATGTTTTGTAGATATTATTAATGTTTTGTAGATATAGCCTATTTGTTTTGATATCATTAATGTTTTGTAGATATTATTAATGTTTTGTAGATCTATCCTTTTTGTTTTGATAGTATTAATGTTTTGTAGATCTAGCGAATATGTTTTGATATTATTAATGTTTTGTAGATCTAGCCTATTTGTTTTGATATTATTAATGTTTTGTAGATCTAGCGAATATGTTTTGATATTATTAATGTTTTGTAGATCTAGCCTATTTCTTTTGATATTATTAATGTTTTGCAGACCTAGTCTATTTGTTAATGACGTCAGAATGCTTTTGTTTTGCCACTGGACATTAAGTAACCAACAATCAATCAGAAGGCTTGGGATTTTTGTTTGTGTCTCATTTAGTTGTCCCTTAAACATTTGATTTAATGTATCAAATACATGAAGACGTTTTAAAAAAAGGTAACATTTAAAGTGGCTGTTCAACGAACGACAATTCTAACATGCATGTATCTCATAGCTACAATTCTTACATGCATTTATCTCATAGCTATAATTCTTACATGCATGTATCTCATAGCTACCATTCTTACATAGATATAAGAAGATGTGGTATGAGTGCCAATGAGACAACTCTCCATCCAAGTCACAATTTATAAAAGTAAACCATTATAGGTCTAAGTACTGCCTTCAACACAGAGCCTTAAATACCCACATACACATATATCATTATGTACAATATATACAAAATGGGGGTTAGGTTATTGCCTAGAGAACAAATGATTTATTTATTTATTTTGCGTTTAAATCTACATAGTTTTTCTAATCCATTGAGGCAAACTTGTTTGTTCAACTCATAATTTCTTTGAATTTCAAAATATTTGGTCTTGTATAGTTGCTAACTTTAACGTCATTTGGGGGAGGTTTGTGTCATTGGCAACAATACTGCATCTTCTTATTATTATGACCAGACAACATTTTCATTCCAAACAAATGAAATCGGGTTTTTCTTTAATTGCATTTTAATACAATTTCATTCCTTGAAAAATAAATGTTCTTTGAGGATACAGACAACATGCAATTTTCTAAGCTACGCCTACTTATATGATTATACTATTGACTATTGACAACAGCTTTTCCCGGAAAAAAAATATTTGAACTACTAGTATATGCCAATTAAAAATAAAATGTTTAAAGAACATTATTACTGACAGTAAAATAATACCAGATAAAGTATGCAAACGTGGAAAGAACAGCCGTTCATTGTTATAACCTCATTGGTTGATATCTTTGGCGGAAGTACATGTGATACATCCTCATTCTTTCAATATCCAAGCTGTGGGATGGTCGTGCTCCATGTGTTGTCGGCAAAGTAATTATATTCTTTAACTTTTACTTACATTTGCCTTAGTGGCGACATAGCCTTGGTGGCTTTAAGACCTTGGTGGTCATTTATATATGCCTTGGTGGCAATAGACCTAGGTGGTCATTTTTATAATTTTTTACATTTGCCT